TTTTTCCCCAAAACTTTGTCTTCAAAATAAGGGTGCATCTTATATTCCAAAAAATATGGTAGTACTTTTTAGATAAAAAAAATAATTTCTTAGTGTAAAAATTCGAAACATACATAGTCTAATTATTTATTGTAACAGTGCTGAAAAGAAAATGGAATTCAATTTTGTACATTTTAATTTTAATTTTCACAAAGGCAATATAATACTATAATGGTTACCTGAAAATATAATTTTTAGATGGGTGGATGACTTCATTGTTAAGGTATACAGTCATGCTTGTGGTACGCTCACAAAATGATAATTTCCAAATAGAACACTTCTGGCAGTAGATTTTACATTTTGACACTACTTTTTGTCTGAAATATGTTTTTGAATTTATAACAGTGACTGAAATTTTGTACAATAAAATTTTACTTATAGAAAGTCAAACATTAAAAGGAAAATACTTAGAATGTGGAACTGAAAAGACTTTATTTGTATGTATTGCTGTTGATTGTGTATAAAAGTATTTGTTTAGCATATTAGTATAAGGCAGTCTTTTAACATTGGAACAGAAACCCAAGTAAGTTATGTTTAATGATATTTTTTGCATTTCTACACAGTTGAGAATGACTCCCCTACATTGGGCAGTTGAGCGAGGTCACGTGGATGTAATTAGATGTCTTATCACAAGTGGTGCAAATGTGCATGCTGTGAGTAAGTTTGAAAAGAAACCAGCAGATATTGCTGCAGATTGTAACAGGCATGACATTATGAATTTATTAATGGTGAGTAGTTGGAGGTTAATATAGTTATTTATCTGTATGTTTAATCATACAATTAGTGTCATCACGAGATTTGATAACTAGATCCAATCTTTGAGATGAAAACCTAAAAATTTAACTTGTTATATTGAAATCTATATCGCTGTAATCACATCCTTTTTTTGCTTAATTAATTATATTAACAGTTTAATGCTACAGTTACCTGTTTCTTTATTAACACTACAATTTTTCTACCTTCCATACATCATAGAATAGGAAAGTGTTTTTACAATATATTCTGTAACATAACTCTCCCAGTGGAGGTCACTTTTAGGTTCCCCTTACGCTGGAACTGGAGTGCAATAAAGTGGAGTAATTGCAAACCACAGGGGTGGCCAAAAGCCAGATAATTGGATATGCATATTGTTACCATAAATCATGAAGAGATTACAAAATATTTTATATAATATGGATATTTTATTTTCAACATTTGCCTTCTTTGTTTCCTTTCAAAGTCAGCATGAAAGCAATTTTGTTTATAGTCATGAATCTTCAGTGCATTTTTTGGTTGTTCAATGTTAATAGTGAAGATGTTGTAGAATTCACAAAATTTGTTTTTGGGAGAGTAACTTGTTAATTTCAGGAATTAATTGTTCATAACTCTATGAAACTGTTAGGGTTGGTGGACGGAAGCTTTTGTGATTCTGTATTGACTTCACTCCTTTTCTGCATCATGTGTGTGTGTACATGTGTACTAGTATCTTGTAAAGTTTAGCAATTATTTCATGGGGTATATTTATTTTATATTGATAATATTAATGTTTGTTAACTCTGTTGTGAAATTGGTAGTTATTAGCTCTTTCAAAACTCATGTTTGGAAGTTAGTTTGTGTTAAATTTCTTGACAGAACATGGTACCACAAACTAAATCTGCACAAGCAAAGTCTGTGGAACATGAGAAAAATTCACAAGTTAAGATGATCACTCCTCAGAAGAAAACCCTGCTAAAGGCAATCAAAGTTGAATTAGTGACATCAGGAACAACTGAGAAAACATCTGGAGGTCCTACCACAACACAGGCGTGTTCTACGAAAATCATTCCAGCTAGGCCTGTTCAATTACATCCAAATTTAGCTGCCTTTGCTTCTGCCATAGCAACATCTGGCCTTAATAACAGTGTGAAGAACAAGCATTGTGAATCTGATGAAGGTAAAAACATTGTTCAAAATTATGTTGGTGTATAATACAGAAAGTATTTACAAAAACATATGTATTAATACACTTATTTTGTTGTATTTATATTTTTCTAGTTGGTGTAAATAGGCCTGTTTGTCTTTGTAAAACTAGAAACTTATTTTCATCAGATGTATCCAAATTTGAAATGGCATTGTAAAAGCTATGAAGTATTTTGTTGATCATGTTTTTTTGAAACCTTAAGTGAAAACGTCACATGAAATTAATGTATATATTTTTTTAAACACAAAAAAAACATTCTATTCAGGATTCAATTGACTCTCGCAGAATATTCTGCATCATGTATGATAAATATCATCATGGTTTAAAATGATTTATAGATCACAAATTATAAAAGCATATGAGAAGGTTCACCAAAATCACAGTTCTTATTTCATTTCTAAGACCTTTAACCCTATGTGCTCAAGGCCAGTCCATTGGACTGAGCCATATTGGTAAGTTAATCTTTACTTTAATTCCAAATTTACCTGATGTACCTTCATGAAATTTGGTAAGCTTTTAGTAAATATTACTAGTATGTTGTATAAAAAATAATCAGAATTTTTAATAAAGTATTTCTGCTAAAGGTTTGTCTCTGAATTTACTTTAATCAGCTTGAATTAGACATCTAGTTTAAGTGCAAGGTGATTTTTCACGTTAAGAATAAAAATACTTTTATCATCTTACAGCTTTCTGATTACATTTTCTTAACCTCTAAAACCACCTAAATTAATATCAAAAGTCTTTTTTTTTCAAGCACATTATATTTAATCTATTATTTTCTCTACCCTAACACTACATGGACCCATTGCATTTCACTGATCTTATAACCACCACAAACAAATTTGAAATAAATCTAAATTACCATTTTTTTCTAGAAGACAGTAACAGTGTATGTATGTTTTCATTTAATGGCATTGTTTTATCACATTTTCAACCATACCTAATTGCTAAACCTGCATAACAAAGTATAAGTTGTCCAGTGAGCACGTAGCTCAAATTACAGTAAACAAACTATTGACTTATGTAATTCATGGGCAACTTGTGTGCATACCTTACTGAGAAAAGTTTTGTATTTAACTTTTTATAATTTTTTTTTTTATATT